TTCGTATTTCCATCCAGGTCAAAAATCCCAAAGGTTACTCACAGTAAAAAAGGCAAAGTAAAAATCCTTTACATTTGCAACTTGACTAAAAAGGAAAGTCACGAGACTAAAGTTAAACAAGTGGATTGAAACTTGTTTACTTTACAAAGTCAATCCATACTCTCTTGCTCAACACAAGTGTAAAGCATGGGCTCAAGAAAAGAAAAAAAAGAGACCCATGCTACTTCAAGTCAAGACAAAAAGAGAGCATGCTGAAGATAGAAGATCAAGTGGATGCATCAACGTTCAAGATTGAATCTCCTCTACCAACGGGAGATATTCAACAACATTAAGTCTTTAAATGCCCAAGGGATGTGACGAAGAAGATTCAATGAGCTTAGTGCAATCAAGACAATTATATTCAGAAGGGAAAAGGGGCAAATAAGCCCACGTACTAACAAAAAAAGGTCAAATAAGCTCTTATTTAGAAGGCTCTGTTCGGCAGTCTCCATTTGGGGCGGCTCCCGGTGGAATTTTTTGATGAATTTTTTTGAGCATCTTATTCATTGAGTCTAGTTTACTCATACCTAATTTTAGCTAACAATTCAATCAAGAAGGCATTCAAATGAATTCTTGAAGATAACTGTGTTTTTAACTGCGCAGTTATCTTCAAGAATTCATTTGAATGCCTTCCCGATTGAAGTTTTAGCTTAAATTTGGTATGCGTAAACTAGACTGAATGAATAAGATGCTCAAAACATTTCATCAACAAATTTCACTGGGAACCACCCCAAATGGCGATGGCCGGATAGAATCTTCTAAATAAGGGCTTATTTGACCTTTTTTTGTTAGTACGTGGGGTTATTTGCCCCTTTTTCCTATTCGAATATCCTGCAAAAGATAAAGAGTTAATTCATCACCTTATTTCTTAGCTCATTCACTATGAATATGCATACTAGAGCTTAGAGTAATTGGAAAGAAGTTGTAAACACCTTTGGAAGAATTTGTCATACAAATCCAAAGAGTGGATAGAATAAGACATGAGTAGCTCTTGAATCAGTTTGGTTTATTAGTGAAAAACCTAGGAGTTAGGGCATGAGTAGCTCTTGAATTAGATCAGCTCGGTTCATTAGTGAAAAACCTAGAGGCAAGAGTAACTTGGAGTGGGTTGTTCTCCTTGTGAAAACCTGACAGTTTATGCCTATGATCAAGGGTAAACTTGTCACTAAGTGTATTGATCAGTAGCTTAGTGAAAATCCATCTATATGATGTGATTGGATGTAGGAGGATTACACCACCTCCGAACCAGGATACATCAGTGTGTCAATCTGTTTAGGCTACAAAATCACCTATCAAAGCCTTAACTAACTCCCTGAAAAATAGCCCCTCAAAACCCAGTTTTCGGCAGCCTGCTGATTTTTCCTCCATTCAATTCCCAGAAAAACAGCCCCCTCATCTGGGGTTTGTATGTATCTTCTTTTGGACTAAGTAGAGAATGAAAAAGGCATGAAGAATGTTTTTTTCTATACCTCTTTCTTCATTCTTTCAGCACGAAGTAAGAAGAAGAATCTAGTGTTCTCATATTGCAACAGCCCGTCCTCCTCTGAAACCACCTTCGTGCCAAAAACCATTTTGTAGAAAGACTATATTGCAACATATTTCTTCTTTACTAGTTGTTGTTTTTATTTTAGTTCGAGTAAGTTTGATTTGGATATTTTGATTTTTAAAGTACTTTTGATAGACTGTTTTGACTTTTCATTCCGATTATTATAGGCTTAAAATTGCCAGTTTCGTGTCTAGCGAGTCAGATGGCTTTGTTTGAGTTGGCTGATTTTATGTATATTCCTAGGATTTACGATTCGATTTGTTGTAACTGTCTGTAGGTTGTCTTGTATATTTTTTTTTAGGAAAAACTGTCAAATAGATCCTCGAACTTTCATAAAAAAGTCAATTAAGTCCTTATATAGGAGGCTCTGTCCGGCCGTCGAGATTTGGGGCAGTTCCCGGTGGAATTTTTTGATGAAAATTTTTGAGCATCTTATTCATCGAGTCTAGTTTACTCATACCAAATTTCAGCTAAAACTTCAATTGAGAACACATTAAAATTAATTCTTGAAGATAACTGTGCAGTTAAATGAGTGGTTATCTTTTTTGGGTTTTTAAATAACCTATTTGTTTGGAATACGTACGTTTATCAAACTTTTTATTCACGTGAAAACATAATGAGTTAATGACGAACAAGCTAGAAGCAATAAATAAATTCAAATTCAAACGGCATATTCAATATTAAAAAACAATAGCGAAAATGATCAAATAAGGTCTTCTATTATTACGAAATCATCACACGAGGTCATTCAATACTTCTACTTATAATTTTATAAAAAACAATCAAATGAGTCAAAATGACCCATTAACAACCTCTTAATCCTGATTTTTCTCCGCTTTGATCCATATGAGTAGTGATGCACAATTGTAGGGAGTGAACACTAGTGTGAACCGTGAGTTAAATAACTATTTTAGTAGTTGTGATAGTAGTGTTATTATTCCTTCCGTCCCATTTTGGTTGTCCTACTTTTCTTTTTAGGTTGTCCCAAAATGAATGTCATGTTTCTCTTTTTATCAAGAAATATGTGATCCTTATCATTTCACTTTATTCTACTCAAATCTCAATCACAACTTTTACTTTTCAACCACTTTATTAATAATCGTGCCAAATTGAAAGAGGACAACCATTATGGGACGGAAGTAGTATTACCCAGTAAGAAGCTGACACATAATTGATTTTTTACTCAATTTTACTATAACAAATTGATATTTTAGAAAAAACAATTATTTGCACCAAACAATTATAATTAGTTGTAGATTTAGAGCCTGCTTGATAGCACGAAATCGGTTGTTTTGGCTGATTCTGCTGAAATTTATGAAGTTCTGGCTGAAGTGGCTGCATTGGCTGATTCTACTGATTTAAGAAAATATTACTTTTAAAATATATTTTATTAGTAAAATAAAGAAAAAATTATATGTAAAAATAGCTAAAATTGTTATCTACAGTAAATTCAGCAAATACAGCCAGAAAAGTAACTCCAACCAGTGGCGGACCCAGAAAGTCGGAACCACGGGGTCCCTACCCCTTTATATCTCTAATCTCTAATTAATATAAAACTAATAAAAAATATTAAAGAAGCATAACACCTCATAGTTAACGTACACCATCAAAACATTAAGGTATTATAAAGAAAAAAATACATATACAAATCATTCAACAATTCTAAGTTTCATTTGTTGGAAATATAGAATCATCACTAATAGTTTTGGTCTATTTAATTAAAATAGGCCAAAACGGCGTAGTTTTGGTCTATTTAATTAAAATAGTTTTCGAAAACAAAAAATGTTTTTTGGAAATATTCTATAATAGAATCATCACTAATAGTTTTGATCTATTTAATTAAAATAGGCCAAAATGACGTAGTTTTGGTTTAATTAAAATAGTTTTGGAAAACAAAAAAGGAGCCCAAAATACATTAAGGTATTATAAAGCAAAATAATACATATAAAAATCATTTAACAATTCCAGAGATGTACCCTCTTGAGCTTCATTTGTTGGAAATATTCTATAATAGAATCATCACTAATAGTTTTGGTCTATTCAATTAAAATAGGCCAAAACGACGTAGTTTTGGTCTATTTAATTAAAATAGTTTTGGAAAATAGAGAAAGTTTTTTTGGAAATAGTCTATAATAGAATCATCACTGAAAGTTTTGGTCTATTTAATTAAAATTAAAATAGGCCAAAACAACTTAGTTTTGGTCTATTTGATGAAAACAGTTTTGGAAAAAAAAAAATAGGAGCATAGGGGATTCGAACATGGTACCCCTCCCAAACATAGAAATCTAAAACACGCGTTGCTACCATTCCCCTGCTCCATTCTTTTGGTTCTTAGGTCGTTTTTCATGTAAATATACACTTAGTAATTAATTTTATATAATATATGTATAATATATATAGGTATTTTTTTCGAGGTGCACGGGGTCCCGGGACCCCATGGGACCCTTACTGGGTCCGCCTCTGACTCCAACCTTACTTTTTCTGCTTATTACACAATTCAGCGCACGAAAAAAAAATACGCATTTGGTAAAAAAGTTGATTGATAAGACTGATAAGCCGAAAAAAGGTGTTACCAAACCACTACTTTATTTTGCAATTTATTAAAATTGAATAGCGTCGTGTCCATGTGTGAAGCTTCAAGCCTTCAAGAGCAATTTTAAAGAACGAAGGTTAAATTTGTCATCTTGGGGTTAGATTAAGTAATGAATTGAGTGCGCCTAGCAACTAGGCATGGCAATGGGTCAGGACAGGGCGGGTATTGCAAGACCCGAACCTGACCCGTGACTTGGCAGGGCGGGTCCGCCCCGTCTCGCCGCAATCTAATGAGTTAGTATGTATTTTTATTTGTGGGAAGTTGTTGCCAATTGAATCTACATAAAGTTTATCTCTAAATAATAATTAAAAATCAATATATTAAATCAAATTCATGATACGTTAAAAATTTCAAAAATTTAGGAAAAATTACTCAGACTTGAATAGTTAATCTAATTAGTTATATTAATAATTGATTATATGTATTAAAATTCTATATATAAAGAAGACATTGATAATCCGTCGTTCATCTCATTCTAATATAGTAATATATATACATATATTATAAGATCAAAAAATTTATGATTTATTGTATACACACATATGTATGTTGAAGTATATTTGTAATATAATTTAAGAAAAAGTATGTATACTTATATATTGAGCGGGTCGGGAAGGCACGAGTCAATTCTAATACCCAGACTCACCTCATTGTATAGGCGGGGCGGGGCGGACCCGCCCCATTTGCAAGACGGGACGGGGCGGACCCGCCCTAAATGTCTCGGGTCAGGGCGGGTCATTGCGTGTCGTTTTTTTACATCCCTGCTAGCAACTCAGCTTGATCTTCGCCAAATTGACCTTCGAATAAAAAAAGAAGTCTGAAATTAATGGTTACTCTAATCTAAATAAACCCTACCAAAACGGTCATCCGATTGAATTGATTCACAATATACGTGCTCAATGGAAGCGGCACCCCTGCAAATTTCGAGGATGGAAGGACAGAGCTCAGGATCCGTTGAAGAAAAAACTCCAAAGGGCATCCCCGGCCCAGGTGACTCAGAATCCATGCCAGCCTCTAAAAAGGCGAAAACGGGCATGGAAGCAGGTACAAATTCTAACCTAGCGGCCGGATCCGCGGATGCAACAAATTGTAGGAAACGTACTATTTGGAATCCAAAAGTAGTGGAACATCTCCGTGTATGTCAGGGTGTTTCCTTGCTTAGATGTGAAGAGGGTGGTCTGTGCACACGCAATATGATTCCTGGTAAAGCTACGTACAATGGGTACATAACATATGTTCAGGATGAAGATGGGACAGTGGTTGAGTACAGACCATGGAACACATTCCGTTCCCCGCTGGCAGCTGCTATTGCCCGTGCACCTGAGGATATATTTGTAGCACCTGGTTTTAGAGTCCTCTATCTCGGAGATGGCGAAGGAGCCATAGCAACTGTTTCCCATATATCTGATATTATCGGAACCCGTGGAGTGGTGTATGAGGTGGAATCCTGTCTGCAAAATGCTGCGAAGTTGGTGAACATGGCGGCGAGAAGGGCTAATGTTACTCCTATCCTTGAAGATGCAAGGCATCCTGAAAACTACCAAGCTGCCATTCTCCGAAAGGTGGATGTAGTATACTGTGACATGAGTTACATTAGTGAGGATGAGCAGGTTGCCATTTTATCAAAGAATGTTAGCTTGTACTTGAAAGACGGAGGCTTCTTTCTGTTGACATATGAGGCGGGAGACAGAAACAGCTCATTGTATGAACGACGTAAGCGCTTACATACGGCGTTGGAAGCAGAAAAGCTCTTCGTGATAAAAGATATTTGTCTTGAGCCTCTTATCCTAAATGCTGGCCTTCTTTTTGGAGTGTATAGGAATGCCTCTTTAATTTAAGGGTGGTTCTTGCACCTCCTTTTCATTCAAATTTGCCTTCTTGAAGGAGTGAAGTCGAGCAGTCAAGTTGTTTGCTTCTTTTGATCAGCTTCAAAAGCTTGTTTCCAACCTTTGAATATGTGTGCTGCCATCAACGGTATTTATCAATACTCATCACCGAGTAGTAATTGCAAGTAATCATACAAGAGAAAGGATAGAAACATAAATCACGTAATTATACAAACACTTATACATGTATAAGTTATCCTATACATGCATAAGTTATCCTAGTTCCCTTTGCAATCATGTAATTGCAGTAATATACTTGTATACAAACAAAGACCTACTTATTCAGCCACATGCTTGAATACTTATACACGATTTAAGGGTTTTAAAAAAAGACTGGAATTAGATATTAAGACACCACATGCTTAAAAATTGATTGAACTAGGTTACCTATATTGTTGTACCAACCTGAATATCTGTCTCTTTTAGAGGTTTCTGTAATGTTTTCATCATTGCTGAAATTAACTTTTACTTCACTGGGATATGTAAAATATGTTTGTTGATACGCATACACTAAGACATGTCCATTCTTTCCATCATTTGTTTTTCAGTTGAGATTCTAATGCCGCTGGAGGGAAAGTTTGGAATAACATTGGAAGAAGACAGAACTAATGGAATTTCAGTAGTTAAAATGATGCATATTTGATTGAGGAACATAGAGGCAATTTATTTTAATGGAATAGACTTATTTCTAAGATCCTAGTGTATTAAAAAAAAAGTTGTGCTATAGGTATCCCATTTTAGGGTACGGTTTTTACTCCACACTTTATATGGTCCAAATGAGACCACATTTAAATGAGGTGTCTCACTTAAATGAGTTTCCCAATTAATAATAATAAAACTATTCAGCAGGAGCGATTGTTTTCATAAGGCCAGGATTCTCATCCCAATTTCCAAATCCATGGTGATGAATTCCCAAAAGCAACCTCGCATCATCCTCTGTGAGGAAGCAGGTAGTGGTTCAGAAGCCATTTGTAAGTAAAAATTAAACAGAAGTAAAGAAATAACAACTCAACAAAGAACAGAGCACTACTTACTCTGGTTCCAGCCACACCCTTTAGACCATGTAGCAGGTTTAAGATAATTAAGCTAGTGCTCGAAATTGTGAGGTGGATTCCAGCCATACTCACTAATGCACTTTGCAAGGAGTTGAAGCTCTTCAACACGGCTTAGAAATTCATCAGCTTAGACAGCAAAACTCTAATATTCCCCTAATTTATTCGCTCCTTTTGAGATTTGAACGGTACTGCTTTTATTCGCTCCAACATACTCCGTAGATATTATCTTTAGACTATTTGACCTTACACCTCACTTTTTGGATGATATTAGATTTTGCACTCCATTTAAAAAAAATGATTTTGCATCTCATTTCACTTCAAAATCATTTGACTTTGCACCCCATTTAGAAATTTTCCTTCGGAAATGTTACTCCCTCCGTCCCGGAAAATTGTTCCCGGTTTCCTTATTGGGCCGTCCCAAAAAATTGTTCCACTTTCCTCTTTTGGAAAGTTTTTTGTGTCTACAATTCATTTACCTTTTTCTTACTCAACCACAACCATACATTTCCACTTTATTCCCACTTTCTTAAACTCTGTTCCAAGTCAATGCGGGAACAATTTTCCGGGACGGAGGGAGTATATGATAGGGTGCGAAGTCAAATGTTTTTTAAAATAGGGTGCAAAGTCCAATATCACCCAAAAAGTGGAGTGGAAAGTCAAATTCTCTCGTTTGTTAAAGATTAAAATAAGTGTTTTTCAACTTTTGGCTTTAAAAAAGCTGAAATGAGTGTTTTCAAATGACAGCTTCTACTTAAATTAATCACTTAAAAGCTAAAAGTCGGAAGCAGGTTGAGAGGTGCTTTAACTGCTTTTCACTTTTTCTATTACACAAAAAGTACTTATTCCATCAAACATTACTAACTTTTACTTTTTCATAATCACTTTTTTTCAAACACTACCAACTTTTACTATTAAACATTTTTCCCAAAATCACTTTTTTAAAGTAGAAGCAATCACAAACACTCCCTTTTTCTTGTTGCAACTTTTGTCATCTTTGTCTTCGAGATTAATGTTTTCTGTTATGAAATTTGTGTCCTCATTTTATATGGAAATATATAAATTGATGAAATTATTTTAATTGCGGGATGGTTCATAAAAAAAAATAACTAATTTACATGATTGACGGAAATGTATTACTTCCAAGATCTTACCGAAGAGGTTTTTCTCCTGTAGCAAGTTAAAGGAGGAGATTGAAGAAGAAATTAAGAAAAGTAAATGGAATAAGTTATGCTTCTATCAATTCCAATGGAGTAGACTCATTACATTTTGGCTTCGGAATATGATGGAATAAAGCAAAACGATTCACTGAACTGTCTGCGCTTCTTTGTTATCAACCAACAGTCAGTCCATGTAAGTTTTGACGCGATTTTCATCATGTATTATCTGGAAAGAGTCTGTAATTTAGTATAGAAATAAGGCTGCATACATCTGATCTCTTTATCTCATCGTAGGTGAGAGCCATTGTGGCTTTTGTTTTGTGGTGTGTTAGAAGAGAGGAGAGCTATAGTGGGAAAAAACTTTATCTTGTACTCCTCCTTATTACAATATAAGTGACTCGCTTTCCTTTTTTAATCGTATCAAAATAAGTCTCTTACATCCATTCTGGGAAATAATTTCATCCCAAAAGTAGCTATAATACACTTTAATAAAGTAAACAGTACTGCTACAATACCATAAATCTCTTAGTTACTTTTTCAAAAGTGTACAGTAAACGTATAAAATATCTTAAACTACGTGAAAAATGTAGTGAGGCTCTTATGGTGATATGAAGGGAGTATTATTTATCATTATCATTATTTTAAATAAATAGATTTAAATTTTATCTATTATCATTAACATTGTTTTTAATATGATAACTTAGAATAGTTGGGAAAGTTTGAGATTATGAGAAATTTAAAAACAAAATCACATTTAAGGAAAACTCGCTTTATTTAAGAAAAATTAGATATAAAACTTTGTTTAAAATACTCACAATTTTCTAAATAATTGTGTTAAAGAAATTAAGGAAAACTCACTTTATTTGAGACAAATTATATGGATTGTAAGTTAATAGATGTCGAAGTAGTGATAATGGTAGGATTATCCTTGATGACAAAGTACAGTGGATGAAATGGATAGAGATGATAATTTATATGATATGTTCTGTTACTTAATTCAGAACGATGATAAACTAGATAGTGGATAAAATGGAAAAGTGTGTCAGAGTTTCTATGTGATTGATGTATGGTGATTAGACTTAAGGATAAATTTTATCGGACAATAATTAGACATGCATTATTGTATGTTGTCGAGTGTTGGACGTTGAAGTAATGTCACATCCAAAAGGATGAGTGCGGAATATATGCACATATCGAGTTGGATGTGTGAACACACCAGAAAAGACCGCCCGCTTAAGGAATGAGATAATCAGAAAAAGGTGGAGTAAGGCCTATAAAAGATAAAATGTAGAAGTCTTGATTGTGATAGTTTGGTCATGTGTATAGAAGATCAAGTAATGCGCCTATTAGAGTGTCAGACGAGTTGAGAAGTAGGGAGAAGAGGTATGGGGAGACGGAGACGAATACTCAAACAGACGTAGATTAGAAAAACCAGACTTCGGGTTGTATGATAGTATGACTTCGTAAAGAACAAAATGGAGGACGAAAATTTGAGTGGGGTTTTGATCTCTTTTCTCTCTTTTTCTCTTTTTTTCTTTCTTTTTTCTTCTTCATGTTTCTCTTGCTCTTTGTCTTTTTGTCTTTTTTATTTTATGTATATAATTTTTATGATTTTTATCTTTATCTTATACGAAGTATTTATCTGTATCTTATCTTTTTTACTTTACCATATCATTTTTTTCTTTTCTTCTTTTTATTAGATTCAATATAATGTATCAATTCATGTTAGCTAACTCCAAATTTTTTTGGTAGGACTCTGAAGTTGTTGGTGTATGGATTCGGTCCGATTTGATCTCCTATCTACGCCCTTGTTCACAATTCATTGCTTAGGACGCAGCTAAGAGCTAATACCATGAACTTAATTAGAACGATCGTGTATGTCTAGGTCGTTGTACGATTTCCAAAGTAATAATGGCACAATGATGGTGGGTACAAACCAAGCCCACGAGTAGAGATGGCAATTGTGACCGATCCGATGGATACCCGCACTGAACCGCTCCGATCAAAATGGGGAGAACCGCATTGACTGGGTAATGGGTACGGGGCGGGGAATACCCGTTTTGTTTTTACGGGTAACGGGGCGGTTACGATTTTATGCATGCCCGCCCCATTACCCGCCCCGTACCCACCCCGTTTATTTTTAGTTATATTTTTATTACATTATTATCATTATTTATCCCACAACTAATAAAAGATGAGATTTTTAATGTTAATTTTGTATATATGGATAATAGATGTACTAACTATAGTGTAAGAATGAATGTTCTCAATAGAACTTAATAGCCTTGTTTGATTATTACTTCGTATATGATTTTTTGTGATTAATTACTTTTCAGATTAAGTATTTTTAGGTTCAAATTAATTTAGGTCGTCTAGGTGATGCCTTTTTTCGCCTTTTAAAATATTATTTTTTATTAAAATATCAATGACTCATTTAATAAAGTGATTACCCGTGGTTACCCGCGGTTATAACCGTTACCCGTTGGGGTGGTTATGGTTTGGGTAAAAATTACCCATTGGGTAATGGGGCGGTTATGGGGCGGGGGAATTACCAAACGGGGCGGGTACGGTTATATGTAAAACCGTCCCCGATCTGCCCCGTTGTCATCCCTATCCGCGAGTTGTTACGAAGTACTGGTATTTGTTAACAAAAATGATCTTTGTACCCACTCTTATACCCACTTTTGTACCTACCTATGTTTGTGAAGTGTTTTTTTTTTCTGTGAATCCCGACTCACAGACAATATTTTGCACAAACAAAATATTGTCTATAAACCGGGTTCACAGACAAAAAAAAAACCTCCACAAACATGGTAGGTATAAGGTGAGTATAATAAGACATCAAGCATTCTTGATTTGTTAATGTCGAAATAATCTCGTATCTATATCTATATAATGTGACCAAGAGAGTTAAATAGGTCCTATTTTCGTGTCCTATTCCCGTGTGTACAGCCTCACGGCGAAAAAAAAGAATGGCGCAAGGAAAAATAACTTCCGTTTTGCCGTTAGTTTCCCTCGTCTCTTTCAATTCCTCTTCCTCATTTCGAATTCTTCTGAGACCACATACCCGCACTTCAGAACGTTTTGCGGCCACAGAGCATTCGGTTACTGGTGGAGCTTACTAGTTAAAAAAGAACGATGGAAGTATATTTCTTCAGTGCTCTTACGTGCGGAAGGTATGAGACTGTTTCATGGGCATTTTTGGTATACCAAATAGGAACTCCCAAGTAGATTTCTTGGTGGAGGAAAGCTGGAAACAAGTCGCTAATGGATGTTTTCAGGAAAGAGCTGCCTAGAATCATTGTTTGGCACATATGGAAAATTTATTCCAACCTGGTTTGCACTACAAAAAAAACAGGGTTGTAGTCACGGATTTTGTCCAAACAATCCAGACGCTGGGTGTGTGCATGTATTGTCCGTCCGAGCAAAATTGTATCACAAACTCAACACAAGGACGTTGATTTAGATGCTTTTCAGCAACAATTTTTCCAACCTTCGGATTTTAAGCCTTTTTTCGAACCATGTAGGCGGGACCTGAGAAAAAGAAGGTCTCGGTCCTGAAGGTGATCAAGCACTGTTGGACGAAGGGCGGTGATGATTCGGAAGCCGAACTTCCATCTTGCATCGCAGAAATCGAAGTAAATAACACCACTTCTGTTATTTAATAACATTCCAAATAAAGATGATCCTAATTTCAATAAATCTTGTACATGTAGATGAAGTATAACACAACCGTTGAGAAGAAGCGTGTTGAGCTAGGCTTGACTGAATCAGATGAGCTCGATTCTGATGCGGAAGACGAGGCGATCCTTGAGGTAGCTGGGGTGTACAAGCGTCGGGTTCCGTGCATGGGGGCCGAGAGGCAACAAATTTTGTACAACCATGACGAAGCTTCATCTTCTCGATCGCGGGTAGAGGATCCACGTATTGCCCAATTGCAGCGAGAATTGGAGGAGCAGCGGGAAAGGGACCGAGAAACAAGAGCCCGGCTTGAAGCGATGGAACATCAAATGAATATATTCAACGTTGGATATCGGGCAGAGCCGTATTTTAGGCACCCTGAGACGACTCCTCAACTTCAGCACATGGGCAATCTGTATCAATCTAACTCCGGGTTTAGTAGCGTGCCTACAATCGGGTCGTTCGAAACTTTTTTGTCTGGAAACTTTAACCAGTTTCAAACACCTGGTGGCAGCACAGGCAGAGGCAGCCGACGTGGAGGCAGCCGCGGAGGCAGCTGACGCGAAGGCAACCGCGGAGGCAGCCGAGGAGGCACCCGACTCGAAGAGCCCGAAGAGGATTATCTCGTAGATGATGTTGATGATGAATATGATAATGATGATCCTAGATTCTATCATAATGGATCCCGACGGAGTGTGTAATAATACATTTTTTAATTTAAGTTAAACATCGGTTGGTATGTTACTGTTATAATTTCAGTTTGTGATAACTTTTATTAAATTACTAGTAGATTAAATGTGTATGAATTTCTTTTCTATTTAATTGTTATAATTCCACTACATTTTTTTTAAAATAAATTTATTAAAGATAATTTTTTAAAATATAAATTATAAAAATTCTTTTCAAATATTGTTTTTAAATTATTTTAAAAATTAAATAAAAATTATTTTTTTAAAATTAAAAATATTAGTCACGGATGCTGTCCGTGACTAATGTTGTCCGGGTTTTTCCCGTTTTGTTTTTAAATTCTTTTAAAAATTAAATAAAAATATTGTTTTTTAAAATTAAAAATATTAGTCACCGATTCTGCCTGTGACTAATTTGACGGATTTTAAAAAAATAAATAATGTTTAAGTGACAAACGTACCGGAATAGCAACTCCGGTAACGAATTAGTCACGGATTAGGGCCGCGACTAGTCCATGACTAAACTTAGTCACGGATAACCGTCCGTGACTAGAGTTAGTCACGCCCGTTTAGTCTCGGATTCCGTCTGTGACTAAATCCGTGACTAAAAAAGTTAGTCACAGATTTTTTAACACTACGGTCCATGACTATTTTTTTGTAGTGTTGGGGAGACCTCGTGATTAGTAATGTTTCTTCCTTTTGTCATGAATCCAGCCTGTTCAACTGATATAAGTTTGGGTAAAAACAGTGAAGTATGTGGGCCTGAAGTATGAGGACGATTTAGAAAAATCTGATTCAGGAATCAGAATAATCATATTGCTTCCCATTGTTGTTGGAATATGATTACCCAAGAAGAAGTATTGAACTGTCCCAAACACATACTAACCTACAATATCCGAACAATTTTGAAAGAATTTAATCAATTTACCTTTAAACCCGTCAGGATCAGTGGCCTTTTTAACTTCCTCACTACAAGGAATAGTGAGAATAAATTTATTATCCTCCTCACTCAATATTTCAGGAATATGCTGAAGAATGTCCCATTTTCTTCATCCTGCTCAGGGTAAAGAGTTTGGAAAAGAAGTTTACAGCAACTGAGCCCATTTCCTCTTGATTAGAGCATAATTTCCCTGCAGAATCATATACGAAGGTAATTTGTTGTATTTTCCTAACTTTGACGAACGAGTGATAAATGAGATTTGAAATCCCTCTCTTTTAGCATGAGATTTCTGTGTCGAGAAAGTTTTAACCTGTTTATATCTGGCCATGAGGAAACTCTGTTTACAACACCCATCCTCTCTGTTGGTCTGAGAAAGACTTTCCTGAAAAAACAACTCAGCTTTCTGAACAAGATCATCACCATGTTTAGTTTCGTCAATGATATTTCCAAAAAACATTTCTTAGTTCATTTCTTCCATTCAGACTTTAGGCATTGAAGGTTAGAGAGTAAGGCACGCATTAGGGGTGGGCAAACGGGTCTTGGAACCGCGGTCCGGTCCGGGTAATGGCGGTTCGGGTCCAAAATGGATCGATTCCATTTTTTGTTGCCATAAAACGGTTCGGGTAGGTCCGGGTAATTTTTTTAAGGACCCGGGCCGGTTCCAAAATAAAAAAAATACCGGGTACCCGGCCCGACCTATTATATATATTGTATATTAATTTATTAATAGTTTTGTGATAATCGATTTTGAAATAGTTTTGTTTTCCTTTGCTAGAAGTAGGATTTTAAATTGACTTGGAGTAACATCATTTTGCTTTCAAATTATTGATTAAATTTTACATAAATTTCTTATTATTTTTATTGTTATTGAATTATTCTTTTCTATGGAATTTAATTATTTGTTAAAAATGATTTTGTAATATTTGTTTTTATAATATTGTTCTTAAAGTATATAAACTGTGATTACCACCCCCATGTATGTGTTAACTTTGACTAATACTGAAAATGTGTTCTTAAAATATATAAATTGTGATTACCACCCCCATGTATGTGTCACCTTAATATGTGATGTTAGACAACATTTTTAAATTCAAATGTTAGAAAATATGTAGTTTGGCTATGTTGCTGATTTTTGGAACTTTATTTGTTTGGAACTTATATACATGAAATTATGAAGTATTGGATTTGTCACTTGTGTTACCTGTGCACCACTATGTTGTTATTTTGAAACTTGCTAATGTACTATATTACTAAAATTAATTATTGATTTTTGAAACTTTGTGAGTTTTACTAATTTTAAGATATGGGAATACGATAAAAAAAAGATATGGGAATAGAAACCGTAAAACCGAGACCGGACCGACCCGTTTCAAACGGGCCGGGTAAGGTCCGGTTCCTATTTTGAAAATTGCAATACCCGGACCGGACCGGACCGTACAATGGAACCGGCGGTTCCATTTTATTTTGCATTACCCGCCCCGACCCGGCCCGTGCCCAGCCCTAGCACGCATGCTGATAACCGCTTTCGCGGCGTTGTAGTAAAACGGAGTCTAACCTTTCGGTTTTTCCCCGAGTGTCGTGTCTCTTGAGGAATGGCGGAGAAGTTTCTTAATTTAATTTTAGTCACGGGCTATCGCTAATCGTTGGAAGCCTTTTCAATATAGGAAAGTGTTTTTGTTCTTTATTATGCTAAATTATAACTAGGAGCAAGGTGCAATTTAAAGATTAATGTATAAAGACTGATTATTCAAGGATGCAAATAAGGGCAATGAATTGAGTAATTAGAAATGGATATATTCTTGGACCTCTTAATCAGGGAAATTAAGACTAAAGTTGGACTAATAATTTCTTTCCTCATAGACAAGAATAGAAACTATCTTCATTAATTTATCCTATTTCTAGGTATCATTAATGTGTTTAAAATGGTTGGCTTAAATTATATTCTAAACCCATAGACAAGGTAGAAATAATTTTCCAATATTTTAATTAATAAAAATAGCCAAATTCATTAACTAGTTAAACTCTTTATTTTAGCAATTGAATTTATTTCTCATAGACAAGATGTAAATCCTTTTCATTAAATTATCCTATTTCTAGGCCTTATTAATGTGCTCAAATATGGTTGGCTTAAATTAATTTCTAATCTCATAGACAAGTTAGAATTAATTTTCCAAGAATTTAATTAATGAAAATGGCTAACTATTATTAATTACTATTTCATCATTTTAAACAACTAGTCCAATTTATTAATTTTACCCCCTAATTTTAGGTCAACAAGTCAATCCATATTCCTTTACTCAATTCATACCCTAACAAATTTAGCTACTCATTATCATTTTTACAATTAACGATATAATAATTAAATTCAACATTAACAAGGAATTAAACATGTATGATAGCAAAAATTAAACAAAAATTATATTCTGGAACAATAAACTTGTAGGAACTAAAATACAACTTTCTGGAATTTTTTTACGAATTTTTGAAACTAAAATCCAATTTTAACAACTAATTGATAACTTTCCCAATTTTAACTAGAAAATACAAAAAGCAACTAAAAATATGCTAACTTCGTTATAAATTTTATTTTTAGCTACTGGGAGGTATATAACTGTGAATAAACTGTAATCAGGTCCGAACTATTTTTTTTTTCCTTTTTTAGTATTTATTTTGATTTAAGCAATAATATAAGGTAATTACCGAAAATTAATAAAAAATACTCTAAATTCGTACCAAATTTTATATTAACTACTAGTAATGATATTTAAGTTAACTAAACTGTAAATAGGGCCGAACTCATTTTTTTCTTTTTTTTTCTAGTATTTATTCTAAATTATGAACTAATATCAAATAATTACCAAAATTAATTAAAAATTACTTCTGGTTCGTGAAAAATTAATTTCTTCAGATAAATAACTACCTTGAGGCTAGTGAACAACTATATAATTAATTGGAATGATTTCAACAACAATAACTATTTTATTTAATTTTTGGAAGGAAATGCGAAATACTTGAAAAATAATCTGGAAATTTTCGAAGAACAGATCGAAGAAACAAAGCACAGATTCAGATTCTACACATTGAGAAGATGAAAATACATATAAAGAACTTACAATTTGGAGCTAAAATGAAGAAGATATGAAGATGTGAAGTTTCTCTCTCTCTAAGACCTTTGGAGCTCGAAAATGGAGGAAGAAAGAAGGTGTTTTGAACTGATTTAGGGTTGGAGGAGGTGTGTTTGAGTTCAGCAAAAATCGGGCAATTTATAGGAAATTTTTCTCTGTAGGCGGCCATCCAGGCGGCCGCCTTCCGCCTCTCTTCGGCCGCCTTCCGTCTAATCGCCGGCAGCGGATCGTGGCCGGTCCCGTCAGCCGTAGGCGGCCACAAAGGGCGGCCGCCTTCCGTCACACATTGGCCGCCTGCCGTCTTTTCATGGTCAAATCGGATCGCGGCGGATCCCGGCGGATCACGGCCGCCGCAGGCGGTCCAGCAGGCGGCCGCCTGCCGTTCCTGTCTGGCCGCCTGCCGTCAAATCCCACCGGCCGGCGGTTGCTTCGTCGTCTTCTGCCGCAGGCGGTCACCGTAGGCGGCCGCCTTCCGTCCAGTGTCGGCGGCCTACGGTCTTTTCCGAATCCGGTCAAAGTCAAAGTTTGACTTTCCAAAAATACCGTAGGCGGCCGCGAAGGCCTTCATTTTGGCCGCCTGCCCGGCCGCCTGTGAGATTATTTGTCCGGCTTGTTCCTTATTTTGTGCTCTTCAATATTGTCTTCTGGACCACTTTGAAATAATGTCTCCTTCTTTCGGTATGATATCATTTGTTGCTCAAATTGGCTCATTTTGTGCTCAATTGACCCGAAATTCCGACAAACATACGATGAATGTGGTTTTCACCTGATTTC